TAGGTAAAATTATACTCTACGACTTTTGTTTGGACTTTGTCGGCTAATTTTGATTTATTTTTAATATTATTATTTTTAACAGACCGGGACAGGAAAATCCGTTAAAAATTCATAACTTCTTCATCGGATGTCCGTTTTTGTCTGTCTTTTTACCGTTGTACTACTAATGATGAGACCTTCAATTCTCGTTTAGGTTGTGTTGGATAAAAATCAGTCGATCTTTATTTCGAGTTTTTAGCTGTACACTGCTATACTGAAACTTAGAAAAATCATAACTTCCTCATACGAAGTCAGATTTTGGCGTTCTTTTTATGAAAGTTCTCGGTTTAACATAAACTACAACTTTCAGTTAGATTGTTAAGGCTAAAAAGCCTTTTATTGAAAATTCAATTTTTATACTGAACAGTGTTTTGCCGGTTTTGTCGTGGATCTTCGATTGGTCATAACTTCTTCGTTATAACTCGGATTTTAGTGTTCTTTATGTTTTTGGAAACCTTGTTACAATCTCTACCACTTGGTTCATCGCAATCGAGATTGTTTAATAATTTATTTTTGAGGGTCAATTATGTAAATATACACAGTATGCTAAAATTTCTCTTTATTATTTTAAAAAGAACTACAAATTGACCTACATTATTACATAGGTTTAAAATAACGGTTTGTTACATGTCCCCTCCTTTCGGAAACGATCAAGGAGACGCTGTTTCAGTCCTCTTCATATCTAAAAATATTGAAACAGTGACGTTTAGACAATAAAAAGTTCAATCTCCCTATTAATTAATTTCCATGTTTCTGATGACGCTTATAGACTAGTCCAAATTTGCAAGATGTATTAGGTTAATGAAGCTAACACTAGAAACGGCGAACCAGACAGCCTCCTGATGAGTGATTATGACTCGGGTAATGAAATGGAAGACGTTGGATTAAACATGACTATGGCATAAAATTCTGATCCAAATTCATACAATGAAGTTTTTAAAAGGAAGCATTGAAGAATTGTTGTGACGGACGCATGAGATCAAGTCCATTAAGAAGACCACTAATGGAGCTTAGTTGCGCTGCCAAAATTAGCTAAAACTAGTGATTCTATAAGACTAAGCCTAAGCATAAGGCCTTATTAGTTGCAAAAAGATACTCATAGAGGTATGGAGTTGATTATTTAGAAGTTTACGCACCTCGTATGGAAACAATAGGAACTACTATGGCATTGGATTCTCCAAAAAAGTGGAACATCTACCAGCTAGAAGTCAAATCCCTGTTTCTAGATGGAAAGCTGAATGAAGATGTGTACACCAAGAAACCACAAGGGTTCAAAGTAAAGGCTTCAGAGAAGAAAGTGTACAAAGTACATAAAGTGCTCTATCAGTTCAAACAAGCACACATGCATGGTTCAATCGGTTTTTGGGTTATCAAGGCTCATGTGGTACAGAGACCCTGCAACGACAGCCATTATACTGTTGGATATCAGGTCCTCTTTTGTCAACTGCAAAAACAAAGATTCAACGTCTGTTTGTTAGTGAGAAATATGTAGAAGAAGAAGAGGTAGTGGTGACTCAAAAGGCATTTATAGCCTACAAAAACCTAACGACCCTAAACAAAACGACGCCCATGTTTCCTGTTTTCAAGCCACATCCTAACCATCTAAATGACTCCAAAATACCCGGTCCAATGACCCATTCAACCTACGACCTACCCTACCATTTATTCAATTCACTAATTAAAACAAATATCAAAATAAACCAAACCTGTCAAGATTAAAATAACCAACATATACCAACAGGACTCAATACTCGAACTCAAATTTTGAACATATATCAGGATGATGACTGTAAATACTAAAAGGGAAGAATATCCATCACATTCTCTAACAAAACTCGCCACTTCAAATTTAGTCAGTTACCAGCTACGCATAACTACATACTCCAGATAAAGAGGGGTTTGATTATTATAATTTTTACAATGCAGTTCAAAGAATTTAAAATGCAACATAATCCAATCCGAAACATATATGGAATTACCTGAGTTATTGACAGATTTGCAGAGGAAGAATAAAACCGACCAAACCTCTATCACCCGTTGATGGAATGAACGGGGTGTTGGATGTGCATGCTCAGACCACACAAACATACTGAGTGAGGGATGGCAGTGAATTCAATAAATAAATAAGTGCCTCCAACTGCTCCCTAGGCGTTAATAACCATCTTTGAATCAGATATGCATGGCTCAAAAACCAATGGCGTCTGAGCTATGCTCACACATTAAACAGAGAAGAAAAAAAGTACAGCCGAATATGAAGAGACGATTAGGAAGAACTTTAGGCAGGATTACGAAGAAACACTAGCAATTTTATTATTAAAAAGGTATCATCTTATATACAGCTATACACAGCTCAACAGCTGTAAGCTAGAGCTCCAGTAATGCGTATCCAAAGTAAGTCGCGCGGTGCAGATTTTCATCAAACACTTGTACTGCAGTTCAATGGCACCCATAGCATAGAGCATCAGGACATAACATGAAGCTTACTTTGTGTAGCTTCTAATGATGAACGCCGGATTTCAACCATAAATAGGGTTTGAAATTACTCAGGAGTCGCACATAAACATCAACATCGCTGCCCAATATACGAGAATATCTATATTTCTTCAAATTAAACTGTTGCAATACTACCCCTCCTTTTTCTAAATTTCTTCGTGACCCACATATTTTATTGTTTTGTTTTGGCTAAATTACATGAATGGTCCCTGTGCTTTTTGATAATCTACGTGCTTGGTCCCTAATGGTTTTTTTAACTCGGACCATCCCTATAATATGTTTTTATTGCGCGTTTGGCCCCTGACTACTTAAAAAGACTATACTGCCCTTTGATGTGAATTAAGAGCATTTGATTTGGCATGCGGAATTAAATGAACACAAAGAACACCGTGATTTTGGTGTCTAAGAGATATATTTGATCATGAAAGGTGTTACAAAAAAGTATAAACTAGATCTAGACAAATAAATAGCTCACACTAAGACTCTCAATGTTACATCTCTCAAGCACACCTCTACAAGTGGTATGAAACCAACTATATATAGTAGTGTTTACATATCTCTCTCTATCTATCTATCTATCTATCTAATAGCATTTTATATGTATACAGTTTTTTCAACTTGAAAAAGTGTAATTTGTATTCAGTTCAGGGTTCAGTTTGAGACTAAACCTGTTCCAAAACACCAAAACCTATTACTTTTGTCTGTTTTTTTGGTTACTTTCCATATTCTATTCTAAAAGGGTTGTGTATGGTTTATGTTGGAGACTTAATGTCATCAAGCATTTAAGGTAATTGGTATTTACCCATATATCTAAAAGGTATTTAGGTTATGCTCAAGTAAGAGTTAGGGAGCATGCAGTGTACACTCATATAAACTAGTATGATCGTGGACACAACGAATGGTAGGGTCTAGGGGTCGTGAAGGACTCCAAGCGCAGATCTTTAAGATGCCTTTGAAGTCTAAGTCCTAAAGGCGTAGGTATTTAAGCCCTAAAAGCGTAGATTTTGAAGCCTAGGTCATGAAACATTGGTGCCAAAAGTGTAGGTAGTGAAGGCTGCTACTGATGGCTTTAAGGCAAGCTGCCAATATCCAAAACTGCTGATCCACTTTAATGAAAATTTTGGTATACATACATGATTTGATCAGTAAGTCTAGGGTCTAACTCTTGCATTCTAAAACAAACTAGCCATACGCTTGTTTAGTGCTCGACTTCCTGTTTTGCAGCCAAACTTGAAGTTGTTTTTCTAGTGAACAATTCCCAAGTAGATTTTGCCACAGATAATTGCATTGCAGGTCATAATAGTACTTACAAATCGAGTATAACGCCATCTAATTTGATATCCAAATTTTATTGACCATCAATATTCACAGTCGAACCAAAGTGAATCCCAGCCCTACTCATATAGAATCTCAAGAAATAGTATTTTGATTTTCAAGAAATGAATGAGTTTAACCAAAATTACACATAATGAGTTTTATACTTTAACATCAATTGTAATATATATATATATATATATATATATATATATATATATATATATATATATATAGATATATATATATATATCTAACTTAAAGTAATAGCTGTGTCCGCAATCCAAAAATAAAGGTTTTGTCCTATAATAGCTTGGTGCTATGACCCATATGTCACAGACGAACGTTGAGCCGTAGTTCTAGAATGTTATACACGAGTAAAAACGATTCTATAGATTCCAAGACTTTGTATGAAAATAGTATCTTGATAATCTACTAATATCATGTTTTTACATTTGGGATCCACCTACATTAAGTAGAAAAAAACATTACAAAAACTCAACATTTAAAAAATGCAACATATTGTTTATTAATGGACTTTATTCAACAAAAAATTATCTCCATTGTTTGTCCACTAGGTTAGAATGAGTGAAGTGGCCCTTTGATTGAGAACCAAGTGTTGCATGGTGACCATCCTAACAAATTCAATCATATCAAGCACAACAGTATTACAAGACGGAGAACATATCTGCAAGAGCGTATCATAGCTGGTTTATTGATGGTATACTTGCAGAAAATGAATAGATCAACCATAAGACATTTAAGAAAATGAAGATATAGAAAATGAAATGACATGACAATCAAGAACCAGGATGCAGTAACCATATGAACATGAGTACATCCTGCATAAAAAATTAAGAATCAAAATAGTAACATGCATCAATAATACTAATGCGATCTAAAGAAACATAGATATCTAAATGAAGGCATACACTTTTATGAGAAAGTCTATCACAACATTTTTTGTTAAAAGCTTTCCACAAGATGGTTAAAACTAAAGTGATGGTATTCAAAGCATTTTTTAACATCATCAGACACGATATTACTAGAAAGTAAGAGTTCGTCACACTTTAAAAACATCAAACATACGTTTCTGAAATCCATCAAGCACAAGCTATTGAAATCCATCAAACACAATTTATTAACATAAGATACTAAAAACTATCAGAAGTTATCTTTATGGCAGAGTGAACAACCAATGCCATATCATCCAAATTCCAAACTGCTTCAACGGCCTCAAACATTGCCACTTGCTCCTGGAACCGTAGGGTCTCGCTTAATCAACTGAGAAATCAAAAGGGGAAGTCAGTGAACAGTCAACATTATATATACTAGACTCACAGAGTAAATAATAGTTGCAGTTGAAGTGCATTGCAAGAATACAAATGAATAAAGGCCAAATGTATACTGGGTAAAGGTAATGAGTCTGTTACACTTCTTATTAGGTTTACGTTTAGTCCTGTCAGTTGTGGCTTAAGTAGAGCAGTGAGGGCAATAAGGTCTTTTTACTGTTAGATCAGTTAGGTAGGCTTAGTTGAGTGGTTAGTGTTAGTAGTTGGTATCTTTGGTCATAACAGAATATAAGTGAATTCAGGAAGAGTTCCTAGTCTCTTGAATGCTAGTAAACTTAAGTATGCTCCATGATCAAAACTTTAAACTATAGATAATGTCCATTTGCAGACCTCATATATTACAAAAGAAAACGAAAGCATCCCATGAGTAAACATGAAAAGTGAGCTATGAGGCCAAGATCAACACAGTTTTTTAGGGATGTACAGGAATCATCATAAACATTAATAAGAATTCAGAATCCAGATATAATTCCACAGTTTGTATTATTTGATAAACAAAATGAACGCACCTTACAACTCTTCATGCTATTACTCTCTTGTGTCTTTCTCTTTGGCCTCCCATTAACATAGGGAGATACAAGACTCTCCATATATATAGGGGCACAAATATACTCCCTAGTCTTGTAGAACAGCATATCACGACACAAAGTTCTCTTGTTAGGAATGTAATGTTTCTGCTCTTTCAAGCATTGTAAACCTAAGTTCATCTCACACTCCTTTTCAAACATACCCCAAGACAGCTTTCCATTGTAGTTCTTCAGCATCCATAAGTTATCATTAAACCCATCACAAGGAAATACGCATAAACAATCTTCCATAATACCTAAATTCATATTTGGGCGGCTAGCAACACCAGATTCATATCGCTCATCATCAGGTTGGGGAATTTTGATAAATTTTTCTTCAGATAGCCGAAACGAAGTAATGACTCTCTTCTTATTTGGAGATGAAGAATCTTTCATAATCCAATGAAGTGCCCCATTGCATAAGATACCAATCCTACTAAGAAACGAATACTTAACATCTCCAATTAGTTTCCAAACATTTGATTTTAAACTGAACACTTGAAAACATGTCCAACCAACACGTTTACGGAACCCTAATACAACCTTGTAATCATCCGTAGATGAATCATAGCCAAAACCCCAACATAAATGTTTGGTATCATGAATTTGAGGGTCTTGTAGTGTTTGAACCTCTCTAGTTGAGGGATTAGCTACTACAAGTTGAGAAGCAAAAGAAGAGATGCATACAAGTCCATTGGAAGAACCAAGAAGATGACAATCACGGTCATCAAAGAATCTGTCATCAACATTACAAACACGCGACCCGTTGCGATAAGAGACCCTTGACATAACAATCCTCCTATCTATATCATTGTTTTTGTAATCAATTTGGTAACTACAGTTCATATGGAATTTAATGAAACCAGAGTCAGAGATCAATTTTTCCCAAGACTTACACACACTTTTGCATCGGATTAGATCCCTCACATTCAATCTTTTCAGTATATTCGGAAGGACATCACCGTCAAGCTCTGCCATCGAAACCCTAGAGTCGGCAATCCGAAAGGAAAGAAGGGGGGGTGTGTACCCACACGATAGCGAGAAATTTATTTCTATGGTGTATTTATTAGGGATTTTAGTTATCAACACTCATAAATGCAAAACATGATATGATGAAATTATTACCACAATATTTTACCATTTGGAGAGATTCATTTACTGGCTTTTACAAACCTGCCATATATGATTAGTACTTCAATACCCATAAGATTACTAATGCCATCTAGATCATGATCTTTGATACTTGCTTTGCTATAACTACTAAAATCAGTGTTAATGGCATACCTTCTTTCTTGAATATTTCTCTTATGCTTCCTTTAAAAAGTCCACTAACATGTATTTATCATGAGTTGGTAGAGGTTGTGGAAAAGGGAGACAAATTATACCGCCATCATGAAGAGGAAGGAGGAGAAAGTGAATGTTGGGATAACAACAGAACAAGTTAAGCACTTTAGACAAATGTCAAACAAACTTCAGTGATACTTGCAGAATAAAACTTCTGAAAAAACTTAATTCAAAACTGAACACAATATTTATTAAACTTTTGAAAATTTAATGTGGTTCGGTTGAGATGACCTACGTCCACGGGCGAACGAGAGAAAGAAGATTTTATTAAACTTCCAAGAACAATTATAATCACACATAAATATTAAATCTCAGTTGAGCTTTCAAAAGAAAATAATCTTTCTTGCTTACTAACTGCTCCAAAAGATGTGCGCTCAACTTCACAATGATTGCTCTCTTGAAATTACTGTGTACACACACAATCACGCAAGGAATAATGAATGAGGATATGAGCCTATTTATAGGCAAGCATGGAAAACCTAATTCAGATGGGTCTGGCTAATTATGGCTCATCCATAATTAGTTCATGAAGGGGATACCCTAAGTTCATCATCCATGACCATCATCCATAAGCATCGTCGATGAGCATCTTCAAATTATGAGCATCCTCCTTGAGCATCTTCAACATATGACACCTGATGCTCACACGTGATCCCTGATGCTCACCCAAGCTTCCATGTGCTCTATTGATCCCAGATGCTCCATGTACCCAGTAGCTCCAATTGCTCAATGTTGATTCTTGATGCTCACACATATATCTAAGTGTAAGGATCTCAATGGGGGCAAACGGGTCGAGGGTTGCATCCCCCGCCCCCGCCCCCAAAATTGTCATGTTTCCCCGCTCCCGCCCCACCCCCCGAATTCCTGAATTACGCCCCGCCCCCACCCCCAATTGATTTTATGTTGCTTTTTTTACGCTAAATGAAGTCTTTTTTGGGCTAAACGTAACTATTTTTTTGGAAAAGAAAATAGTTCTTTATAATAAAATTTTACACGTTAAAAACAAAAATGCTATGACATCTCAAAAACATTAGAATGGAAACTTGAAAACTTTTTTTTTTTTGCTGAATTTTGGCAGCTCAAAATCATGCTATTATTTATTATATTTATATAATAATAATATATATATATATATATATATATATATATTATATATAATATCTTAACGGGACCCAATGGGACTTTTAGGACGGGACTACCCACCCCACCCCTGCCCCGAAGTTAAAACGGGGGTTAATTCCATAGTCACATAGTTCGCGGTACGTTCCGGTACGGGAACGAGGATCGGGAACGCGATTCGTTAGGTTACACGTATCCGGTACGGTGGGGGGTAGGCTCATTTCGGTACGTTCCGGTACGGTGTACCATATAAGCCGGTGCGTGTACCCAATTGAAAACATAATTCTGGTGCACTTAGAAAAAAACATAAACAGATTATATTAAAAAACAATTCAAAAAAAAATTCCAGAATTTTAGTCATAAACCTAAACCTGATGTTAAAACATAAAAAATAGAATTCCAACTTCCAAGCACTTAGAAAAATAGAAACAGATTCATTCAGCCTTAGAAGCTAAACAAAATCATTATCCTTGCCAAGATCAACAAAGTTTTCAGGGCTTCTGTTTCACTGTCTTCTGGACGAGTAAAAATCTTTCCAAAAACCATTTCAAAGAAGAAAAGAATACTGAATAGTATAAGAAAAAAGAAAAAAAGAAAAGGAAGAATGAATACAGCGTACTGGAAGAATACAGGGTAAACCAGATATCGATTGTGATGTTGGTGAAATTGAGTAGCATCATATGTAATAAATTGAATCGATGGATGTTGGAGGAATCAGATGTAGGAACTAAAAGCATCAGACCTGGAATCGATGGACTTAAATCAAGCGTCGACATGTTTTTCACAGGAAAACTATTTCCCGCCAAAATACAAAATCGGCGTTCCAGACGCAAAATTGGCGATCCCAATCGCGTTTCTGTGCAATAAAATTTGCCAAAATCACGTTCCCAGTGGCGAATCGGAGAATAGAAGGGATCGCAAGGAAGCCGTACCAAAGAGCGTTTTGGTTGGCAACTGGTACGAAATTGTACCGCGTTTGGGAACGGGGCGTCCGGAACGTGGATCGTGGCTATATTGGCGATCCCTGTGACTATGGTTAATTCTACCCTCACCCCCGTCCTTGCCCCCACTTTTTTAAACAAATACCTCAAACATGGGATCGATGTCCCACGAGACTTTTTGGCATCCCTATCTAAGTGCTCCATTAACATTCCAAATGCCCCAATGAAATATCTAGATGCTCCATTGAATTTGATCAAGTGCTCACACCCTAACAGTGAACTGCTTCTAGTGGCCTACATAGAAGAAGTTAAGAAAGGATATGGATGGTTACATGATTGAGATATTCGAACCACATGAATGGAGATTGATCATGGTTCTCAAAGTCACACGACCATAGTTAAACTTGGAAACAAAATAATAACAAACGCGCCTGCTTAAGGTAATGCTAAGATCAAATTGAATGGAATCAATCATATTGTTTGTGATATGTACAATGTTTTGTAGTCGAGGAACAAATCTTACTATGTCATGGCTACAAGAAAGTGGTCAGGATATCTTGACAAAAGGAATGTGTAAGATTTTTCATCCCAACAAAGGTTTGATTACTAAGACCTTAATGGGTGCAAGTAGCATGTTTATGTTGTCTATTGAATCACAACCTCAACCCGGTCGCAAAGAAGACCGCTTGATCACCATTCACAAAAGGATAACAATTGAGATGTAACTTTGGCACAGATGGTTGTGGAACTTAAATTGTACATGGAACTTGTACATGTAGACCTTTATAGACCACGTCAAACAATAATAAGAGTTACAAGTTTTGTTTTATTGATGATTTTAGTAGAAATTTTTGGGCATATCTTTTTGATATAGAAAAATTAAGACACACTACTACTTCAAATGTTTCAAGAAATTAGTTAAGAAGGGAACATGTTTTCTAGTGAAGTGTCTAAGATATAACATAGGGTTGAAATCGACTTGATGAATTTAAGGAAACATGTAAGGAAAAGGGAATAGAAATACAACTTGCATACAAATGCTTACATGGACTAGCAAAATGGAATCTCTAAACGAAAAAAAACGATCATTATTAAAATGGCGAGGAGTTGTTTTATCTAACAATGAATGCCAAATAGATTTCGGGAAGAAGAGAACAACTACAAAATTATTTTATGGATAGATCTACCAATACAACTTTGATAGATATCAATCTTGAAAAAGCGTGGAGTAGTAATCGCCCCTATGTTTCATATTTATGTGTATTTGGTTGTTTAACAAATGTTCATGTACCATAACAATAGAGAATGAAACTCCATGACAGGAGCGTGGATCCTATACTCTTAGAATTGGATTTTTCATTGAATCTAAGGCCTATAATTTGCTCAATCCCAATATTAACAAAATCAAATTTACAATGAATGCCATTTTTTATGAAGATAAAGGATAGTGTTGTAGCAAATCACATAGTAGAGAAGGTCGGCACTAAGAACAATACCAACCAGGATGACAACACCAACAAAGAAGATGAACGGTTGAGGATGATATACATCATCGGAGATTTATAATAAGAAATGGGTAGAATTCCTGTAATTCGAGAAACAAGAATGTGTCCATATAGGGCACTAGTTCGCCTGGAAGATTAAACATGTCCTCAAATTTTGCGATAAGGGCCTTGACGGCCTCGGAAGCCTCACTCGATTCAGTAACCTCCGATGCTAATCAATTTGGTGATACTATAAACGCATCTTGTTCATAATGTAATAACGACTTGAAGAATGATTTAAAAGAGACTGGATTCCTAGACAAGCTTAGATCTCCTACCTATGTAACACTCCGTTTCCCTTCCATAATGACATTGTAAGATCTTTCGAATTTACAATCATATCCCCCATGTTTGCATCCATTTAATACCTAATATTACATCGGTGACCTAACTCTGGAGGGAAGAAATCATCTACGACTAGTAGATCGTGAAACACGAGAATCAATTTTTTTTACCAGTAGTTCATGCAATGCCTTGTGAGACGATGTTACCCGCCATCAATTAGTACCACCACTTCAAGAACGCCCATGTTTTTGTGTAGTTTCATAGTCTATGGGGGCGTTAACACTACAACCGAGTTTAATGTGACTTCCATTGTATCTAAGTGAGCATGATCCTAGTTTGTATTAGACGGTTCTTCCTGATCCTCTTCTTCATCTTCGTCTCTCAGTACACTACTACACTACTTGATGGCCTGGTGCGAACTTGGCGTCACATTTGAAGCATAACCCTTTTGCCCTTTAGCTGCGAGTTCATCCTTTGAAAATCTTTTGAACGTCCTCAGCTATCCCCATGCTACCTCTAACTTTCCTATAGGAGGTTACCATATCTCCATATGTTGATCAGAATGGCCAACCCCCGATCATACCCCTCTCCCATCAACACGGTTCTCGTTACCGCCAATCGCATTGTGCGGGTCAATCCCTAGGGTTGTATGACCCTCACCGAAGATCTGAGTTTCGATTTTAGCTTCTTGATGGAAGTTCCTTCCTATATCAGTTTCCAATGCTTCATATTGCTTCAACATTGC